GGATAGAACCATCGGAGCATTATAAAACTGTTTCCTATATAATGGAAAATCAAAGGCGTACAATAAAACATACTCGAAATTTTTAACAAGCTGTTGCAGCGCGAGGAGAACACCAGGCCAGCACGCAGCATCGGGATTTTGAAGGTATATCGTAATTTTGTCCACTATTTGCGTCCATCTTCCAGGGAAGTCGTATTTAACTATATTACTGATGCAAACTGCTAATTGAATTCTAAACATACAATACAGATATGTTATGATAATTTTAATGTGTACCTTTATATCATTCCTTTACTTCAAAAGTGACACAATTCAAAAACGTGATTTTTTTAAATATTTACTATGAATTAAATAAATATTACTTTGTCAATCATCAAAAGCACAACTTAACTTCATTTTAAAAATCATCAAAATTATCACAAGAAAATTTATTGTTTAAACAAACATCACCATTTAGAAAGAATTGTTTTTTTTTAAGGATTGTAAAACAAAAATGATAAAAAATAAAAATAATATTTGATCATATTAAGAATACATTCTTTTTGCAGATATATTATTTGAGAATTTTGTATAAGTAAAAAATAATTTTTTCTTTTTTTTAAATAATTTTATGTTGTTTTTGAAGTAAGAATTCATGTTTTAAAATATTATTAATTAATAATACAAATCGCATTACAACTTACCTAATTAAGTCCGGGGCGTGTACCACAGCATCTACTATGGCATCACGTATCATTGCACGATCTTGCTCGTGAATACTAAATTCTATGGGCCCACTTTCAACTTCCTTATCAGCCCAGTGTGAAGTAATTAAATTTTTTAAATAAATTACACCTACAAAGATAACGAAATATTAAGCCTCGTAATTTATTATTTGTTTTCAGTATTATTTGTTTACATAATATAAAGGGATCACAAAGAAATATTTACCAGCTTGTCTGACAGGCATATCGACTTCATTTGACATTACTACCTGCAATAACGTTGGTGCAAAACCAATAATTTTGTGAATCTGAAAAATTTAAACACGCACACATAGATTTATTGCTTATAGCAATTAACATTGCTGCATTATTGCTTTGATGCTATAATTCTACAAGCTCATGATAACTTATAGAATATACAGAATGCGTAAACAACAGATAGCATAAACTAACACATAATTCTGTTCTCTGCAGCTACTGCACATTCATTATACTTAAAATAAAATAGATATGTATTTAAAATTTGGCGAAAACTAGAAAGTTTTAAAGCAGTCCAGTACAGAACAATCTGTTTTTTATAACTGAATTAGTATATACTTTATATACTTAATAAAAACCTGTTCTTTTTAACTTTATGCATGGCTTGTCATTTCTTTTTTATTTTCTAACATAAGAGAAAAGGAGGCAAGGTAAATGGTACAGCAAGAAACAAAAAGTCCATTTTCTGTTTCTGCTAGACTGTACTGGAACTCTCTACCTTTCTTCCTTTTGCCATAATATATAAAATAAATATCAAACATATACCTGTCTCACAGTTGGAACTTTAAGTTCCAAAAAATGTTCAGTCACAGAAAACAAATCTAAAGATTTAGTACAATTCATGCCCGTTTCCACCAATGTAGATTAACTTATTTTAATCTTGGTTCAATTTACTCTTTGTCTTTTTCTTTAAGTCCAGTTCCACAACTCACGGTTAACTCTTAACTGAAGTTCAACTTTCTTTGTTTCTCATCTCTTTTCAATTCAAGAATTGGAAAAAGATAATGAATAAGTTGAACCTCGGTTAAGACTTAACCGTGAGTTGTGGAACTGGGCCTTAGAATTAGAAAAAGATGAAGAGTAAGTTAAACCAAGATTAAAGTTAATCTATATTGATGAGCATCAATGCAGCAACAAAGAACAGAGGTTTAATTTTTATAAATAAACTAGAATATCTTCTTTGTATTTATACTGATAAATATATACAATAATTTATACTGATATTTGGTAAAAATGAGATGGAAAGTTCTAACGTACTGCAGTGCAATAATTAAAAAAACCAATTAAAAAACAATAAAAAACAATTATAAAAAAAACCTAAAGTGATATAAATACATTTCAATATTTGCCAAAAGAGCGAAAAGGAAAGTTATATAGTTCAGTGCAGCAATAAAAAAACCTATTGTATCAATTTAAGCCTATAGCACACGATGCTCATTTTCTTGCTGACTGGATTAGAATCTAACCATCGTATTGATTGACAATACCAGCATTGCAGCTTGCAATACGATGGCAAGATTCTAATCCAGCTAGCAATCCAACGAAAAAAAACAACCATCGTGTACCACAGACTTTATTGCTCATAGGAACATCATTACATTATCATTATCATTACTGTTATCATAAATCTACAAGTTTGTAATTTATAGAGCATTTAGAAGCATTTGGAATACATGAACAATAGATAGCATATACATAACACATATATATTTAAAGTATAAAAATAACACGCTAGCAATGTATAACAGATTGCAAAATTACAGGTCATGTTGGGATAATTTCGTTGAACAAAACGGCGCGTTAACACGCAATATGAAAGCCATAGCTGATTCGTATGATCTCGAGAATTATGTACCACGTCGAGGGTCAAAGGAATGCAGGCGCTCCGAGAATATCTCCTCGCACGCGCGAGGAGAGGTTAACGAGCGCGAGCGTGGGTCTGCGTGGGTCCGAAAGTTCAGCTAACATTCATCCAAAACTTGAACAAAAGGTGTCCTCTTTGCGGTCTCGCCGACCTCTTTCTCATTGGATCGAGCTTGTCGCGGTTGCTTCATCACCGAGAAGAAACGAAGTCTGTCGAAAAAAAGATCCCTTCACCCCCCCCCCTCGACCCCTTTCCTCCCGCTAGCGACGGCGGGAACAGTGATGAGCACGCCGGCATTATTCTCTCAGCAAGGACGTGTTTCCCGGTTTCATAGTTCACATGTGCAAAATCAGAAGATGAGGATCGACATAAGACGAGGCCACATGTGCTAGAGATGCTCCGATGTGCTCGTTCTCTCCCTCTCTTTCTCTCTCTCTCTCTAACCCCTCGCACACGCACATTCTTTCTCGCTCACTCCTTTAACCTTCCGCCGGGTAAAATCGCACGTTTTCTCCTCTAAATTTGCTCGCGAATTTCCATACCTGGTTGAGCTGTCCTTCTGCCTCCTTTTGCTGCGCGGGATCGATTGTCGCCCGCAACAGCTCGGTGAGCTTACGCGCGTCCATCGCTCCGGGCCGCCTCAGCTCGTCTTGTATTAATTAGACGCCTGAATTTTTGCAGATCGAATATCCCAGCACTGGACTTGACCCGGCGCATTCACCTCGCACTGCTTGCTCCTTGCCTGGCCTGGCCCAGTGCAGTCACGTGACACAACAACATGGCGGCGTGGATCAGCTTTTGAATCGTCGCATCCGGTCCGTGAAACATGCATTTCGCGTGATATGCGACCCTCCCCTCCCCCCCTATGATGTGTTTGATATATCGTCAATGCAATGAATATCGCCTTAAGGCTCGATTCCATCAATAGTTGCATTAAGCAGAGAAAACAGCCTTGTAATTGTTGTAAAATTCTTTAATATGATTAGTTTATATATTTATAGAGTTAATTTGCTGACTCTCGACTTCGAGTTCATGGTCTGCTGTTTTTAGCTGCAAAAGAAAAGCTAAACTATAGAAAAAAATTGTACAGCCAAATGGCTGCGTTCAACAGAGGTTGTATTCGGTAATCACACTACAGATTATCGGTTACAGTTGCTGGTTGTCGGTTCTATTTTAGTTAATTTAATTTTGTTGAAAAGACCACTGAAAAAAAAAAGGCGTCTTTTCGTCATCTTTCTATGGTTGTCGTTTTCGCAAAGCAAAAAGTCGACTAGGGGCTTCCCATCTGGCCGAAATCGTTGCCATTCTAAGGCCAATATTACACGCAGTTTTTCGTATGCAATACTTTTCAAGAATCGCATACGAAAGGGCTCCTGGCACTGACAGCACCACAGCCAATACGGTGGCAAGATTCTAATCCAGCTAGCAATCCAGCAGGAAAATAAGCATCGTGTGCCGCAGGCTTTAGAGCGGAAGTTGCTCAAGATTCGAGATGGCTTAAGCTAGTGCATGAATCAATCAGAGAGCCATATTAGCATCTTGACATTGCTTAAGATTAAGAACGAATTATGGATTCTGCTTAATTTCAGCGAATTTTGCATTAAAACATATACATGACATGTGTATTTAATCATTATGATGTATACTGTACCAATTGGTACATCATTGGCTGCGTTTAGCGGACTCAACAGTGGAGTGAGCGCTCGCTGTTATTGGTGTATTCTTTTAGATCATCCAATCAGCATTTTAGATCTGAAAGAATATATCAATAGCAGCGAGCGCTCATTCAACTGTTGAGTTCGCTGAACGCAGCCATTCTTTAAATACATTGCTAAAATTAAAATAATTTAATAGAAAGTTACTAGTTAGTATTAAGGTGCATACGATGTAAACTAGGCCTCTGTGTCGCTGGCTGACTAGTCAGGACCCTTAAAGTGAAATAGATGTATATATAATTAGAAAGAAAAAAAGTTGGTTCACGTTGCATGTTCTAACAAGTTCCAACATGTTCCAACATGTTCTATTCGAGCGCTTTAATAGGATGTTGCAACATGTTGATGGAAACGCGAATATACTTAAAGAAAAAAGATCCATCCATTTACATCTTACCAAAAAAAAAGAAAGTACATACAAAATTGACTGCGAAAGACTGAAACAACTCTTTAAATTGAGCTCGCAGCTTTATGATTGGTCGATTTTCACATCCTTTTGCAATCCTCCGTCTAAATTCTGAAGACTCATTCTCTTTCCCAGTCATTTTCAGTTGCGTGGCGTTAAATCTTTCTAAAAATAAGATAAATATATAAATGAAGCATCGAAGAGAAAAAAAAAGGAGATCGTCCAACCGGGAAAAAAAAAGAAAAACTGAACTGATAAAAAATTCGATTATGAATAAAGCGATTATCGGCAATTCGCGAACAGCTCGATATCTATACACGCGAGCGACGACAGGCTCGGAATTAGGAGCGTGCGAACGAGGGCACCGTGGAGGGCACCGTGGAGGGCATCGCATGAGAACCCGCCCAGCGTCGTGCTGCCGCACAGCAATGTATCGACAAACTAAATAATCGACGTCAAAAGCTGTCAAATATGGCGAGGGGCAGCGAGAGAGAGCGGTAATTGACATGTAAAAATGTGAATGGCTCCGCCGCGGCCCGCACTGTGATCTGCGCTTCGATCGGGTGGGTGGGTCGCGCGCTCGTGGCCGACGATCGCGGTGTCCTCGCGTGCGTGGATCCGGGCTCACGCGGACGACGACGGCGACGACGACAACGACGATCGACGACGATGTCGGGCCCGTCGCCGGCGCCTGTCGAATGCCGGAAGTGAAGTGTTTTCCGGCGCGACCGCGAGGGCAGTCCGAACCAGGAGCCAGACAGGGCTCTACACGCAGACCCGGGAAGGAGGGGCATGGTATGGTAATCAGCGGACAAACGCTATGGGCGCTCAACAGACCAAGGACAGGGTGATCCCCGCCGGGTCCACCGTGCGCCAGACACGCAAGCAGCCCAGAAACCTCAAAGATACGCGCGTCATAGGCTCTAACATATTCACTGAGCACAGCGGTGAGAACACACGTCCCTATCGTTCTCTGTCTTGCTCCTAGACCTTGAGCTCCTAAAGTAGCATCCTCGAACACATTCCACTTGTTGAAGCACGATGCTTTTGCAACTCATGCTGAAACTGGCATACTTCTCCTGTGGCATGTTTTATGTTAACACTGTACTCTCATGACTTGACACAATATGATGTGGTATCTTTATAGACTAATAGCAATGATAAGAAAGTAGTATTTAGAAATAATTTAAAAGTCTGTTTTTTATAGCTAATATTATATAGTATTCATTTTTAGGAGCTTAAAGTGCTATATGTTTAAGATTCGAGTAAAGCGAGAAGAAAAGGCTTAGTGCAAGAGTAAAAAACAAACCTTGAGATTTATTTTTTTTTTGCTGTACTAGACTATAGTAAAACTTTTCTTCTTGCTTTCACCAAATTTTAAACATGTACCTGTTTTGTTTTAAGTACAGAAAATGTACATTAGTTTATTGTAAAGAAACATCTCTAATTTTGTGATGTTTTCTAACATATAAATTAATGTTTATATTGGCATGTATGTCGTCTGAATTAATAGAAATATTATTGGCTAAATAAAAGTTTTGTAATATATAAGCATGTATACCTGTGTATGTTATAGAAAAAGAGATAAAAAGATATCTATATGAAGATTCATACAGATATGTTAATCATCCTTATTGTGTTATGTTACTTTGAATGTAATTATGAGATTTTCCAACATCTTGCATTATTATATAAGCAAAGAGCTGCTTTGAGATTATCAGTATTAGAAGTTTTCCTTTGGATATATTAAAGGTTACATAAAAGATTGTTTTCTATCTTTTACAGAGGCACTTTTGCAAAGTAGACCTCTACCTCACATTCCAGCATTGCCAGAAGGTGATCCCCCAAGTGGTTCTAGTGTTCAATCAATTTCACAGCAAGCTAACATTCAACAGCACGCCAGTGTATCCGCTAGCGGACTTCTTGAAGCAGCAAATAGGTCAGTTTCACTGTTTAAAGTCTGAAGGACATATGTCATGCTTATATAATAGCTGTTTTATCTATTTTTGTATAAGGTCAGACTATAAAAGACTTATATAAATTATCTTTAATACATAATAGGAAGATAGGGAGATCCTTATTACATAGGTTTGCTTTTTTTATATACTTCTATTTATAAGATATAGAATCTTAAATATAAAGGATGTTATCTTTATATCATCAGTTATTTAGTTCTAGAAATAATATTTTCCATTTTTATGCAGATGGACTAGCAAGGAAAACCTCTTAGCACAAGAGGAGGATGATCCTCAATTATTTGTTGCCTTGTATGATTTTCAAGCTGGTGGGGAGAATCAACTTAGTTTGAAAAAGGGTATTAAATTTATGTTTCATTAAATATATTACATAAAACATTGCATTTCATCAAGTTTTAGAACGTAAATGTTGATTTTTTTATAAGTGTAACAACTTAAATGTTATCTTCTAATTTTTCCGAACAGGTGAACAAGTACGTATCCTAAGTTATAATAAAAGCGGAGAATGGTGCGAGGCTCATTCGAGCTCTGGGCAAGTGGGATGGGTACCATCGAATTACGTTACACCCGTGAACTCCTTGGAAAAACACTCTTGGTACCATGGGAGGATATCTAGGAATGCTGCAGAGTATTTGCTGAGTTCAGGGATAAATGGTAGTTTTCTTGTACGGGAATCGGAGAGCAGTCCCGGGCAACGTAGCATCTCTTTGAGATACGAGGGTCGAGTGTATCACTATAGGATCAACGAAGATAGCGAAGGAAAGATGTTCGTCACAACGGAAAGCAAATTCAACACGTTAGCTGAGTTAGTGCATCATCATTCAATGCTTGCTGATGGCCTTATAACGCAACTGCTTTACCCTGCACCAAAGCATAATAAGCCTACCGTCTTCCCTTTGAGTCCGGAGCCGGACGAATGGGAGATTAACAGGACGGACATAGTAATGAGACATAAGTTAGGAGGCGGCCAATACGGCGATGTGTATGAAGCAGTCTGGAAGAGATACAACATGACCGTAGCGGTTAAAACTCTGAAGGAGGATACGATGGCATTGAAGGATTTTCTAGAGGAAGCGGCTATCATGAAGGAAATGAAACATCGAAATCTGGTACAATTATTGGGAGTTTGTACACGTGAACCACCGTTCTACATCATCACGGAATTCATGAGCAAAGGAAATCTCCTGGATTACCTGCGAAACGAGAGTAAGCATCAGATTAACGCTGTAGTTCTGATGCACATGGCTACACAGATTGCGAGCGGCATGAGTTATTTAGAGAGTAGAAACTTCATTCATCGTGACTTGGCGGCCAGGAATTGTCTGGTCGGCGAAAACCATCTTGTTAAGGTTGCAGATTTCGGTCTAGCTCGTCTTATGAGAGACGATACGTACACAGCCCATGCAGGGGCGAAATTTCCTATAAAATGGACTGCACCAGAAGGTTTAGCATATAATAAATTCTCCACAAAGGTACAAAAATCGTTAAGAAATATAATTATTCCCTTATTACGGATTACGAATAATGATAATTTATTTTTCACAGTCTGATGTATGGGCATTCGGTATCTTATTATGGGAGATTGCCACTTATGGAATGTCCCCTTATCCTGGTGTCGATCTAACGGACGTTTATCACATGTTGGAAAAAGGCTATCGAATGGAATGTCCTCCCGGTTGTCCAACAAAAGTTTATGATCTGATGCGTCAGTGCTGGCAGTGGTCAGCGGCAGAACGGCCAACTTTTAAGGAAATACACCTTTCATTAGAAAATATGTTTCAAGAATCTAGTATTACCGAAGGTAAATGAATTATTCTAGATTAGAGTATTAATTAATTGTATTTTTTGTAAAAAAATTATGTTCTTATTATAATATGTTTCTGTAATATTACAGAGGTAGAGAAGCAACTTCAAGGTGGCGGGGAAATTCCATTGCTAGCATACAAAAAATCGCAGACTGGAAGTACAGGAAATATACATGGACTTGTTCTTGTATCTGAGCAATTATCTTCTTCCGGCATAACGCAAGGTAATATTTAATGTTATAGTGTTGATAATGACTCAACCATGTGACGTGTTTTAACACTGAAATAAAAAGGTGTGAACTGTAATTATAGTTTTTGTAATATAATTAAAAAAGATAGTTTAAATTTGATCTTTCTAAATTTTAACATATATTTCAAAGGATATTGAATAATATTATTGCTTCTGATATTCTTTTCTTTAAATATTTGAATATAATTTTTGTTTTTACATTATATAGAAGTATCTAATACATATTATTTATCTAAAATAGTAGTATTTATTTGACCAAATATATTTTATGTAGAAGGAGCCAGCTCGGTCACCAAGTTAAGTACTTTTATGGGAGGTTTGTCAAGTAGGAGTAATAGTAATATGGTTCAAATGCGAAGATCTACCAATAAAAAAGGAAAACAGGCACCAGCACCTCCTAAGCGAACAAGGTACTTATATTTTCTTTTTTTTTCCTATAAAACATACAATCATAATTCGGTATATAACAAAGTTATTTATCTTCTGTGACAGCTTGCTATCATCGTGCAGTTCTTTTCGAGATTCTGCCTATCAAGAACAAGATCAGCAAAATGTTGAAGTGAGCACTATGACGCTTGACGATGGCACAGATCTAAATGGTATTGATAAAATTTTTGAAGGTATTCCACTATATCAAATTAAGTGTAATGATGAATGCACGAATGCTGCTTCCATTTGATTTCTTTTGTTAACTTTCAGTTGACTTTAAGTTTAATTTTGATATGCATCTCCGCCTACAGTGATTTACAGCTTCATGAATGTGGGTCATTCTCCTCGAGCCAGTATGTATACTTGAATGTTGAATACACGCCGAATACTAATTTCCGGTATAATAGTACTTGGATATATTTTATTAATGCATACTCTCGAGCGTCTGCATCTCGTACATACTGTTAATCGTAGCTACAGTTCTTCGTTCCCACTTATACGAATAGGGAACGATATTTTACATATGTTATTTATCATACTGACAATGAGTTACAAACCCAACAGGTTCCATATTAGGTACTCATGCATGATATTTGTTTTTGCAGAGGTACAAGTAGAACGTCGTTTTTTCTCTTTGGTTTTAGATTTCTAGATATGTATCATTTTAATTTCTCGTTTAATTATTCTCATTCTAAAGATTGAGATTCGACTGCGCAAGGGGTATTATTTCGTCGATTTTATCATCGTATAAAATTCAACTGTGTTCAAGCAGTGTTACGTGAGTTTACTGAGCTTCTTATTCATACATATATCACAAAAAAATCATTCAGAAAACTAACACACGTCATATACCATTTCTCATTTTCACTGATTATTTATTGTCAACGACGTCACTCTTATTTAACTAATAGGATTACATAACTAATAAACACAATTTAAGGATCTGCTGTTAACTGAATGTCGATTAAAGGAGAATGACCCTAGGATGAATGAAGTGTGACTAGAAGGAAAAGCAGAAAATAAGATTGATAGGCGCCGCAAATATTCTTTTCTTAGCTTTCCTCCAGAATTGTCTATAACGCGTTGTGCTTACATGCTGGAGAGATACCTTAGCTATAGATTATATACAGTACACCTTATTAAATGGCGACTCAGGTATCACACGTGATCTCGTGACAATGGCTACACAGTCAATTACTACAGGAGGTTGCGATATGGACGACGACGGAGATGGGTCGCAAGGGACAGCAGAACATAACTTTGTTCCTCAACCGTCAACCTCGCCGGAACCAGTATCCAACTTACCATGCAATCAGAAACAAATTAAATCTCGACCTTACACGTCTAAGGAAGTACTGCCTCAGAAGGTACAATGATCTTACATTGAGCGGCCACAATTTCAAAGCTATATAAATACTAGACACAGAAACAATACCTTCTTTACCCGCGTATGACATTAAATATTACCAGATACTGTAATGATAATATTTCTGTATGTTTGTGTTAAGAATCTCAAAGTAAAGTCCGTTTCGATGGTAAATGCATTTAGCACTGCTTGAATAACTTGCGTTGTTTGATTAGAAAAAGCGATTCCGCGATTTAGAATAAAAATCTATTTCAGCTGGTCCACGTGGGTGCGCTGGAGGTGCAAAATGTTAAAAGGGCGATCAACCGCTACGGCACTCTGCCAAAAGGAGCCAGAATCGGGGCATATTTGGAATCTTTACGACAAAGCGGTATGCCGCCGAATCAGGAGAATATCGCCACGTCCTCTTTATCCAATGCAGTCATAGAACAGCAGCAGCAAGATATCATCACCGCGAGTGTTGTCGATGTGATCCCGCAGCACCGTTCCCTTTCACCTCGCCAGAACAATTTACGCAATCAACCACAGATGACGCGTAGCAATTCTTCGAGTGGAGTGGTGAATACCTATCAGCCGCCGAATTCACCTCGCAGCCGTGCCGTAGGTATCAGGAAGACCAATACGGAAGGGATCGGCTTGCGAACTTTTCGAGCGCCGAACAATTCTAGCTTCCGTACCGCCAGCCCGTCGAGATCAATTCAGCCAACTCTGGCTGATCTGGAGTTTCCACCACCACCGGTGGATCTACCACCTCCTCCGGACGAAGCCTTCGATCACTGTGACTTGCCGCCACCTGTCACAACGGCGTCACCATGCGAGCCATCCTCTTCTCACACGAAGATAGCGAGCTCGCCAGTTGGCCTTAGGAAAGTGAAAACAGAATGGCGGAGCAAAGACGAGATCAGCGATCACGATCAGGACGATAGAAATAATGACGTGAGAAACGCGGAGCCATCAGTGAAGGAGGCTAGTTCGCGATTCGGCGTGAATCTGCGACGCCGGGAAACGACTGCCGGCGATGCGCATTGCGGTAGCGGCGGCGGCATTGGTAAGTCCGTGGACGAGAAGAAATTAGTTTATAGACCAAAGGAAACGACGAGCAGTGGTACGATCAAAACAGAATCGTTGGACGCGACGATCGTGGCACCCGAGGAGGCGCCACCGCCGCCTCCACCACCGCCGCCGCCTATCGACGGTGCCGTAATCGGAACCGGTACCACCGATCCCTTCGAATCCAAACCTGGCATGAAGGAGATGCTGGAGCTCAAGCTGATCAACGAGATCAAGCAGAGTGCAGACATGAAACACGGTGGTACCGGCTTCGCGAAGAAGACTGGTAGCGTCGCTAGTAGCAACGCGCCTCTGTCGGCGGCACCGCTCGACCCGGCGTCGCAGCTTCTATCCGAGTTGTGCGCCAGCTTCAGCATGGATTCCGCCAATAAGCAGCATATCGTCCCGAGCGAGTACGCGATCTCGATGTTGAAAAGCAATGACGTATCCAATGTTCAGGAACACGTTCACACGAACATGTTGGGCGCGCACACTGAGAGGAGCAGCGGCCACAAGGAGATCCCGATGACCTCGCCGATTACGGAAGGCCATGTATTGAGTGCTGCTAGCGTAGGTTTCAAATTGAAGAAGGTAGACAAGAGAAGTAATCCACAGAGGGAAGAGAATCCGGACAGTCAAATAATCGACTTCAAGGCTCGGTTGCGAAAGGTGGATAACACTGACAAGGAGAGGGCCGTGGCGGACGAGAAGAGCAAGTCGTCGCGTTTCGACGACTGCACGCAGGGAAGTAACATCGCGGATTCGGCGGATTCGTCATCCGGCGTGGATGATATGAACGATGACAAGCGCCGCAGCACCGGTAGTATTAGTAGCCTAAAAAAATTGTGGGAGAACAAAGAGGCTTCTTGTGATAACCAACCACTTAGTCCTAAATTAAATGTGAGAGGGGCGAGTAGCAAACAGGATATCGGTGACATTGCAAGCGAGGACTCTCCAGAGGATCATAGCGGTGCCTCGACCAGAAGCTCGACCAGCAAAGGCGATCCGCGAATATGGCCTCCGACCTCGTCATCCTCAGTAACCTTGGAAATGGAAAAGCCGATCGTACCGGCCAAACCGTTGAAACCACTCGGACCCTCCAGCAAACATTTTGGTTCCTCGATATACGCCACGCCGAATTGCAACAAGTCGTCGCAGAGCGACGACGACGGCAGCAAGCAGACCAGCGGCGAAATGACGAAAGGGGCGAAGCATAGCGTGATGGAAATTTCGAACGTTATAGAAAATAGCATTTTGAATCTGAAGGGTAGTCCCACCATAGTTATGGCTAGCTGGCTACAGCTTTCTGACAAGGTCGGCCTGCTTCACGGCATGTGCGTCAACCTAACGGACACGGCAATCGCGCCGCATGCGAGATTCCAATTTCGCGACCTGCTCACCCGGCTCGAGCTGCAGGCGAGACAGCTGCGAGCTGCCGGCACACGCAACATCACCGAGAATACGAGACTCTTGTGTGATGTGCAGAATACGATAAAGGACGTGATAAACACGGTGCAAAGGTAAAGCCGCACCGGGCCGGCTGAAAAATCAAAACGAGCATCTTGCCCTGCGAGTTTTCCCTGCACTCCATCACCCTATCCCTGTGATGTACCCCGATCGCAGAAGTCATCACTCTCGTCCCTCCTATCTCTTTCTCTCTCTATCTCGCATCCGCATGTGGACGTATAGTATACATATAAATTTATATAAATATATATCTAAGTCACTAAGTAAGGTTTTATCAAGGAATGAAATCTTTTTTGAAAGCATAGCAATTAATCTACGCGAGCGAATAAGAGTGAACTTAATGTGAATAAGTCTTTAATCGATAATACGACTGCATGATTGTTAGAGGAATTAATCCAAAGTTGCATGAATCGTCGGTGACACTTCTCGACACGCAGTCACATAGGAACACAACATGTACGAGATAAAACACAATTCGTACGAGATCCTATATATACGCAGTAAATTCTATAAGTTCGTATATATTTACATCTCTCTGCCTGCATACCATCCATGCGTTTTTTTTGGAAGATCTTTAAGAGACCGCTATGATCAGCGTGTACAACGTCACAGGCCTGGCAGGAATACGGCCTTAAAACGAGAAGTAAACGTATACACCATTGCATGATTGAATTTTTATGTCGAGACGTAACGACGGTTTTCATATACGGTAGTAAATGTGATGATTATAATTACTGTATGGAATAACCGATGAAGCAAATTCTCAGTAGTATATAATCGGCGTATTGGCATGATTGAATGGTGGCATATTAAACGCGAAAAAATGAGTCGCGTCGCGGACGCGAAAATATCGAACGCGCTAAACTCTATATCCTCGAATCGCTTACGTATCGCGTATATATAAATCGTTTCGTTTTACATGTAATTTTATACACACATCGTGCTTAGTATATATATATATATTATACGCGAGATTTTTAGATTAGACTATATATATAAATACGGACAACACACCTAAACATAAGCCGTTTCATGTGTACTGTGGGACAATATAAACGATTTTGTATTTGTATAGAGTAAGTTGGATATAACAGCTATACACAACGCGAATCGATTACGCCTACACGTAAAATTATATTCAAAACAAACCACAAAATCGAATGTAATTAATCAAACAATTTTTGAGTGTCGTGTGCTTTGTTCTTATCCAGGATGGTATGGTTCTTCCAAAAGCACAATAGCGGAAATATTCGCCTGAAGACATCCATGTGTGAACGATTCAGTAACAGTTAATTTATGGAAAGTGTGTCTCCGATAGACACGTTATAGATGAACTGAGAGAGCCAAAACAAAGTAAAGGAGTATTTATACTGGCCGTAACCGTATGCCGTAATCTGTAAGAATCAATTAATCAAATATTCCTCTTTTACAGCCGAATAAGAGGAGAATACTCGACTGTGATTAGTCAATTCTTATTGATTACGGCATACGATTACGGCCAGTATAAATGTTCCTAAATGGACAAATAATAATATACGATACGTATTATCTGTGTCTGTACAGTATTTTCTCTACATGCTGTCGTATGCAATGAAGTTTGTAAACATCATGCATTTGTTACTCGCACTTATTCTTCTGTATTGTCATTCATATATCGCATACGTTTTACATCTTTTAGATAAAGAAACAAAAAGAAAAGAGTAAGCTTTAGTAAGTATTATATATGCAGTTAAATTTCTGTTATTTATGATGACGTAATGTTATATAGTTCTACGCAGATGCTTGTTAACGTCGCTGTATGCATCCCCGCGAAAGGAACAAATAAGTTAAGTTTTGTAGTTTGTATAATAATACATCGACTGTAAAGCTATTATCCCTACGATAGTATACCGGATTGATTTTATGGAGGTTTTCAGGCTTATACTTCGTTCGGCTTGATTGTGCTCTCGATACTAAAAGAGAATGCAATAGAGGAAATAAGTCATCGATGAACTGTTTCTTATGACACACTGCCTATATTATATGTTACAGCTAGTAGTATACATATTGAATTCACTAGTACTCTTAATCATGTAAATGTATTTCTTCTTTTGATCCAATATCTCGAATTTCTTTATATTTTGTACCTGTGATAAAATAATCAAGCTCTTTCTCTTCTTTTCATCAAAAGAATCATGCTCAACAGAAACGATAATAGTTATACGAATAAATTTTAGTCACCAGACATTTATTCGTATATGAAATTGTATTATTGAAAGAGATACTAAAATTAATGTTTTATATAATGTATTATAGTAATTTTATGTCTATTTATACTCTCTCGTATTTATTTCTAATTTTTTGATGTAAAATTACAAGAATCGACCAACGTACTGATTTACTAATACAAAATTTTAATATTGCTTTATACATTGATATAAGATTGAAAAACCGAAAATAAAAATAATTATCAAATTATGTTGTTTTTTTTTTCAATTTGGATGACTTGTAATTTTATCCCGGATAATGTATACTGTCAAAATTGTATTTTATTTTGCTATATACATTACATTATTATATATTTGCAAATAAACTAACATATATATTGTGTTTATTTTATGATATATATTTATTATAAATATATATATAACATTTTAAAATTTTCTTTAGCAATTATCACAGTTTATACAAATTATCGCTGTTTATAAATTATTGTATATTGCATAAATCTAAATAACAGTCTTATCAGGTCCCTGATAGTTAACTCATTATTCTAGTAGTTGTAGTAATCGAAAATGGTCATTTACGATTTTCCATTTGTTATCCATGACTGTGATTAGAAAAATTTGATTGAACATTTTGGAGCTCATCTGCTAATATTCTACTTTGCCTTGATTAGAAAGATTAGAAATGATTCACCATATAAGTTTCCGCTAGCAATCAAATTTCAGCTGCACTTTTTTTTTCAAATTAAAGTAGTATAGAAGTATACGTATCGGAAAAACAATTTATCGCGTCCCATTTTAATTCTAGAAAAGCACATGCGTTCTGTGAAACAAAGGATAGCGTTTGTTAATTGTATTTTAGCGGGAAATGTTTACACTTTTCAAAATGATATAAGTAACAGATGTATCTGACAACAGCATACGCCATCTAGACGTAAACAGCAGCTTTCAATGCACTCTCCTAATATAATGCAAGTTTTATCCTTATAGTTATTTCTTAGTATTTCATATCAGAAACTTTATTACAAACGAGGAAATAAGTTTAAGAAATTTGTTATGAGACAAATAGTGAAATAAAAATACAGATATCGTCTTAACACGAAGGTATTAAGAATTTATTTAAGCGTGACAAGAAATTCAAATTAAAATCCAAGTCATAAAAATCGAGGTACAGAAACAAATGGATCTAATATTTTCAAATATTTCTACTTCTCTGATATTTTTATAGTCAAGAGTGCAAGAGTATGATGCGAATATTAGCATTTATCCTGTATTTGGCTGAGCGTTAAGAGTATATAAATGGTATATGTTCTGAAGATAGCAACTCTATCCAGAACTTTTATAGATTACATTTGTCGACAATGCCGACTACACCATTTTCGTTCCATGTTAGAATAGCGTTGTATTCATATACATTCTTGAAATTATTTGAAATTATATACATATAATAGTTAATATATACCAGGATGTTTAAAAAAGATCGGGACCTCGGATTTACTCGGGAGGATGACATTTTTATTGACATTTTAAATTAATTAATAACAATATTTTATATATAAAAAATAAATGTTTAAATTAATTAATGTTATTTTATATATTCATTATATTTTATATTTTTAAAGATGTGTTTTAAAAAGCTCTTAACATCGGCTATTAGATTCAGGAATAAAAAATAGGTCGTCCCATTAAAAAAAATCGATTTGATCTTGACCTGACATTGGCGACGCCATTCAAGATCAAACTGATAAGATCTGTAAATAGATCTTTTTGTATCTTACAACTTTTGTCTGAAACATTTCTTTCAAAAACGTCATCCTTTCGAGTAAATCCTGGGTCCCGACCTTATTTGAATATTCTGTATATATAATCAAAAGAAGATAAAAAGGAATATGTTTGGCAATATTATTGTTGCTTATTTCTCTCTTTGCCCAGAAAATGTAATACAGTTTCATAAATACTTTTACAATGTGCAAGCCAGCACGATTTGATTAGCTTGTAAGATCTGCGAAAGTGAACAAGTAGATAATAAGAATTATATGGTGTAATCAAATATATAATCAAATATTTGAAATGTGTGTGTAGTACATTAAATTAGTATTTATAATTGTCACAAGTTCGTTTTCAGAAATTTTAACTTTATAAAAATATAATTGCTGGAAGGATAAATCGGCAATTTATTTATTTAGTCATATATTTTAATTAATATCATTAAAATATATTAATATTATATTGGAGCTATAGGTGTACCTGATTAGCAATTAAATTAGAGAGAATTATTCTATAAATCGTAAAATAGCAATTTTGTTCATTTTCATTTTCAATTAATGCATAAATCTTTTAAAAATGTGTAATATAAAATGTCATTTGAATAATTAGTACGTAGTCACTTGCATTAGACATATGCGATTTTAGAATACTCAACTAATCTTTCTTTCCTGACTCTGACTAAATCTTTCTAATAACATTTGAAAAACTCACACGCATGCGCGTGGATAGCGCACGCATGCGTGCCGCTTAAGCTAATTTTAAGGGCAGTATTCGTAAGCCGAGCCAATCAGGATATCGCTTTAGGTCTATGTAATGTATCTAATGGAAATAGAAATAACAGTAAATTTATCCATAATCTCGCAATAAAGTGAATTTCAACCGGTTGAAACTCGCCTTATGGATAAGTTTACTGCTATTTCGGTTAGAGTATGTAGATCGAAAGCAGTATTTTCGTTGGCTCAACGACTTAGGGTCGACACAAGTCGACAAAAGCGTCGTTTTATTCTTGTTAACATTCAGAAAGTGACAAAGATAGAATAACACTTGTGTCATCAAATGGAAAGCACTTTTAAGTTCACATCTTATTGCTTTGACACATCAGCGCGATGTTCGTCTCGCGCGACACGCAAGATGTTGATTGGTTGTTGCGCCAACTTCCGCTGCGCGGCAAGCGTAATCACGTTCTATGTGCAAGGGCCATTATATTCAAGAGCATCTTAAGTACAGTCTTAAAAAATCACGAATCAATGACCTTAGTTTCCACTGAGAGTTCAAACTGGATCAGAATGTAAGAACTAATCAACTACAGTCGAATATTCTTCTGTTATTTTATGACTGTAACATTCAAATACGGTGAATGCTAAGATTATCTTCTTCATAACAACTATTTAAGAAAAGTCTAACGTGACTTCATCATATTTGGATTTGAATTATTGCAAAAACTTTCTAATAATATGATTTTCTCTATATGTAAATTGATTCTTTGGCCGATATTTATAGACTGTGTTTCAAAATTCACTACCAATGCTGAAAATGTATAGTATACGTAAACTGTACATTTTCAGCGCTGGCAATGAATTTTGGAACACTGCCATAGTCGGTTTCTTATTTTAAAACCGTCTTAATATATTTTAAGTCGCTAATGCGGCCTTACTGATTGGTTCATGACATATTAAGACTGTACTTAAGGCCAGTATTCATAGCTAGTTCTTATATTCAGGATCGTCTTAAGTTCTGTCTTGAGGTGTCACGAATCGATAAGAGAGTCGTATTAACATGTTAAGACATTGTTAAAGGTTGAATTTTGCGGTTTTGGGCCATCATGTTCTTTCTCAGGTTTCCCTTTGGTAGGAAATATGATAGGATGGAACTTACGGTGCTGCACACACTTGTATTGTACCGTACTAGTATTGTGTGTATGTTTGTATATATATATATATATATATATATATATGTGTGTGTGTATGCTCTGTAAATGGCAGAACCAATCAGAGAAGAGGAACATCACCCACCCCACTCTTCCTTGAGTCTCTCTGACTTGGGTGATCTGAGGCGCAGGTTTTGAAAGATTGTACGTTCGCGGAAGTGCGTACACGCGCTGACAGATGGCGACAGGGCGTCGCGGACGAGGTATCAATTCGGCTGGCGATCTATATCGACTTTGTAATCGTAGCAGAGGCGAGATCGCGAGATCTCGCTGGCTCGGTCACGTGACATCGTACTTCCACAGTTATTTTTTCAGGCATGATGGCGCCAAACGCTAGTATTCACTTTTATGTAAATATATTATTGATTTGGTGCGTACCGCGATCGAGCACGAGCGTTCGTCGTATCGCGGCCGGCCGTCGTAAGTAACCCCGTCGCGGGGTAGCGCGCGGACCCGCCGGCGGAGTGAGTAACGGACTGGCCTGTGCCGCCCGCCTGGAATCGCTAATGAGGACATGTTGGTTAGGCTGCCGTGACAGAAAGAGAGAGAGAGAGGACCGAGGCCGTTACGCACTTGCTGGGCAGGAGCCCGTCGGCGTGTTCCGCGGCGGCTCGGGAGCGCGCACGGCTCACGCCGGCGGCCCCGCGGCCGGTTTCACGCCTGCACGCGATCACGTGCCGTCTCGCGCGCGGAAATATATCCGGCTAATAGATCAATAATAAGGTATTTAATGGTCTTCCCGAGTGTATATGTGTGTGTGTGTGCGCGCGCGGGGGAGACCTGTGGTGGAGTGCGCGCGACGCTGCTGCCATCTGTATTGTCAATGTTGTCGGGCAGCAGCAGCAGCAGCAGGAGCAAACCAGCACCAGCAGCAACGTAATGGAGCCGTGAGCATTCTCGTAAGCCGTACGCAATTGCATCAACCGTGCCGACCGTCATCCCCCGTGTGTGTACAATGAGATTTAACGCCGCCCGCGGCCCGCTCGATCGTCGACACGTGCAGTGAGTTGTGAATGTGTTGCCCCATTAAAAACGCCGCGGAGATCCGTACAAGCGCTTAAGTATACGCGAGAGAGCGCGATCCCCGCGGGGCGCCCCGTTCTCTCTTGCTCACTCTCTCTCTCTCTCTCTCTCTCTCTCTCTTTATCTTTCTTTCTCTTTCTCTCTCTCTCTCTCTCTCTTTCCTACTCTATCCCAATGTTTACATGATCGCGCCCGTCGTGGACGATGGAATTGCGATTCCATCGATGACTCTGCGTCTACATCCATCGTCCACCGCGTCCATCGTTCGCGCGGCCGCTTTCGTGGCCCCGCGTCTC